CTTTAACATTTGCTTTATCCTTACGTGGGATTTTGCCCTTAGGCTGTTTGCCAGTGCAGTGCAATGGCTGCAGCATACATCTCTTTGCCATACCTTAACCTGTATTCTCAAACCTGCTCTACTTATTACAGCTCCCTCAATCATCCCTTCCCAGTACGTGTGCAAACCCACTTGTCGTGCCAAGCAACTGCTACCCACCCACTGCTACCCAGTAATTGCATTTCTGGGCACGTGTACGTAATACCTTTTAAAGCACTTTGACTTTTTTCTTCAGATTTCAAGGAACTATATAGGCATGAACTGTTGCCATCTGGAACTCAGTACACAGGATGTGGAAGCAGTTTTTTAGGTTTTCAGAACTTCTCTGTTCTTATACTTGCAGCCAGATTGACCACATTCTTCTAATGGAAGCATCTACAAGGGCTATAGGAAATTTTGTGTTTAATGTGCTTTGTATGTAAATCTAATTAAGCCTTTTGTTACTGTCTCAGATTTAAAGCAGTAACAGCTAGGAACAGCCTTTCAAAGCAAGTGTTTAAATAAATTGCAGTATCTAGGATTTTCAGTAATAATTTATCATTGTTGATAGTCACATAAAGTAACAAAATATTTCCTTACCTCTGGAACAGAAAAGAAAGGTACTCTTCCTTAAAAAAAGAGACGAGACAGATGAAGGACTCTGAACTTGGGCAGTCTTCTGTATGAAGCTGATGTCCACATCCTGAGAGTGATCTGATAGGAGCCCAAGTTGGCTACCAGATCGGTGGTGCTCAGCTGCTTCACAGTTCTCTGAAATGCCTCAGTCCAGGCTCTGCTGCTTTGTTTTCACACTGCTCACAATCCAATGTATCTCATCACAAGAGTGGTTCTCTCATGGTCTGTCTGGATTATACTTTTACCTAAATTGTCTTCTTTCTGTAACCTTAAATATTTCCATTTTCCTTACTGCTTATCCCACAAAGAGAAGTAGCATTTTATTGCACTCTAGTCATCTCTCAGCCCTGCTACACACATTTACCTCTTTCATTCATCCAGAGAAGTCTGTCCCTCAAGCACAACAGGCATTTCTCTTCGTTGCAGAAGTCTCCAACATTGTCTTTACGTACACTTTGATGAGGTCCCTGGGACAGATTGCCCAATTCCTAGTGCAGCCTTCCTGAAAAAACAGAAGTATACAGGACATTACTTCCCTGTTTCAGTAAAAACGTCTCTCCACATACTGCACAGAATTTGGTATTGGCTTTTTTTTCCTGAGACATGGTACCCTCCAAACTTATGTTCAGTTTCCTCTCCACAGATGCTTTTTGTTCTCTTTCACTTTTAGCAGTGTCTGCATTTTACGCTCATTCAGCATTCAACTACGTCCTTGATTTGCTGTGGAAATCCTGATTGATCTCTCTGAGATCTGTAAAGTGACCTCAGCAAGGAATTGGTGCAAATGAGAGGAGAATCAGCCTCTGTCATTCTCTGAATGTCTTTTTTCTGCTTATCCTTCTGCTTTTTTACACCAACAAGAACTCCCACTTAATCTCTTCAGATTTCATTAATCTACAGATTTTTTTTGTACTTGTATAACACTAATGGTCACAAACCAAATCCAACTTTTATGTTGCCTGCACACTAAAGAAGGCAAAGGTAGTGGTTTTTTGCCACACATTATCCGACCTTTTGTGGTTCAGGGTTTTTTGAAACAATTTTTTTTTTTGTGCCCACTTTAACTAGCTCTCATTAACTCTACATTTGATATTTTTAATATGAATGTGGTTTTTTACCTGGATCTTTGATCTTTAGCTAGCCTTGCAGAAAACCATAGTAACTACATGGGTTTTTTACTTTCTTCTCCTTGGAAATTGTACACCGCTACATTGAACTATTCTGAGGTTTTTTAGGATTATTCAGTATTGTAAGCTCTTTTTTTTTTGCTCAGTTGTTAATGTTAGGTTTTTACTGTCTATTCTCTGCCCACAAAGGTTTTAGATCATTCCTTTATTTTTTTCAGAGATCAAATTTGTTGTTTTCTCTCATTCACTTTAAATCATACTCCTAGAAGGCTACAGCTCTCTCCCTGTTTCTGGTTTGGGTTTGGTTTTGTTTTTTTTCACAGGGGGTGGGGGGTGGCTTTGGGGGTGTGTGTGGTTTTTTTGTTCTTTAATTGAAGGGAGTAGAAGGTTTGCTTTCCTTTCTCTTAAACACAGTGTTATTTGGAATTTTCTTTTAAGGCAGGATGCAACATTCTGAGGGATTCTGCTGGGAAGGCTTTCAAAAATACATATAAAACATCCAAATAAGTTAATTTGCAGAGAGGCATTGATTGAATAAATCTGTGATTATTATACTGGTTTAGGGCAGGAAGAGGCACTTAGCAATTCCTCCATGTCGGAAGCTAAGTGGCTAAAATATCCCTACATCGTCTGTTTGGTGTGTGTTTGTTCTGAATGCCCATATGAGGGCTGATTGTTTTGAATCTCAGTTAACAGGGTTATAAAATTTGACAGAAGGTCCCCAACTACTTCAACAAGAAAATGCGTTTTGCTTCTTTTTGTGAAAACCTGACCATATTTGGTACAAACATAGACCTCCAAGATCTGTAGTTTTCCTTTCTCTGTTGGAGCTTGGTGGCTACAATCACAGGAGATGCCTTCTGCAGAAACCCTGCCCGTTGCTGTGCTGCATGGACCCTGCTGTGTGGACCACGGAACAGCTACCATGGCATGATGCCACAGCTCTGGGCTGAGAAGTACTTCCTCTGCAGCAATCTTGCCCTAAGAAATTAAAAAACTGGGTACCAGAACAGGCAGCAGAGCTATTCCGTGCTGTCTGTGCTCTCTTGCCTGGGAAATAAGGAAAAGGAGAGGGGGATCACAGTGGGGTTAGGGAATGTGGGAGATAAAAGGAAATCCATGTGCGTGAGAATGTGTGGTAATTGTGTAGGTATACATACATCTATATGTATAAATATATGCATGTGTTTTGTATACATATGAAGAGGCATGGGACAGGTCTGAATGGAAGCAGAGGGAGATTGAGAAAGCCAGAGTCTGCCCAAAACTTTTAACCATGGAAGCAAAATTGAGGAAGGGTCAGCCTGTCTCTTCAGGAACACATGACAAGTATGGCATCTAAGAAGTGCAAACAGGCTTTGCACAAGGTCTTCTGACACAACCATTCTTCACTTTCAGGTGCTTATTGAAGGAGCCGTGCACATTTATACCAATTAGCGGATGTGCCTACATTTATTTTCCGCTGCCTCAGTTCCCCTCCCAGTCTGCAACACCCTTTCAGAGCCCTAAGAACTACAGCTGTTCCTCAGCTGGCTTTTTCTTCCTGCCTACATCAGTTAGCTGCCTCTGACACTGATGAGTCCTTCCAATAAAACTGAAATCTCCCCCTGAAAGAAATCCAATCGGTTCCTCTCTCTCATTTATTCTAGTAACTCTACAGTCTCTCCTCTGACTCTCTCTATTTTTTGGTCTTGTTGTTATTGTGTATCTCTCCTGTTTGGGAGTCTTCCATTTTCATATTCCTGTGGACAGTAAAACCACCCATCACTTTTCTTAATAGCAGTGCCGCTTACCAAAATCTTCAGTCTTTACTTGAATGGGCATATCTCATTCACTGACAGCCAGACTGGCACTTTCATTCTGCAGTGGCTAGTCATCGAAAATTTACTTGACAATTGATGTTGTCTTTAAGCATGAATATTTTGGAAAATATATAAAAATTAATCCCATTTTATTTTCTCTAGCATATTTAATACATTTTTGTAGTTTCAATTTTAAAGGGTTGAACCTGTTTTTCTTTAGAATGAGCATTGTTCAAATAACAGCAGTTTCATCTGTTTAATTTCTACTAGTGAGGAGAATTCTCTATCATCTACTGTATTACAGATTCTAGTGGATTTTCTCCAGCAGCCACTTATGAAAACTGCAAGCTTGTTTTACCCTGGGGATATATATGTATGTGGCCGGTTGCTTCAGGTCATATTCCTTCCAAATGGAAGTCAGCTTGACAGCTGTTAATTTGCACTTGGCCATTCCATGTGTTGTTTTGCTCTAATTATTGGTCACTGTATGGAACAGGTGACAAATGCCCACATGAGAACCCTTTAAATCACTAGATGTACAATCATGAGGAAGACAAACAGCCAGGGTTGTTAAATACTGGTTTTCTCTCCATCCCCAAACAAACAGATTTTAGCCATTTTTAACATCTATTGGAAAAGGATGGAAAGAAGTGACAATAGCTTACTGTTTATGAAACTAGTTTCCCATTCTGTAAGTGTCCTAGTTTCAGGGAAAGAAGGGAATTTAAGGAAAACACAGTTGTTCTAAGACCATATGCAGAATCTGGTTTATTTAGTGATTTTGTCACAAGCTTCAATTAGGTGTTCTTTCCTAAGTAAAACTAAATGTGCCTTCCAAAATATTTCCTCTGGCCTTCATCTACTACAATTATATCAAATTAAAGCATGCAAAAAATTTTTCTTTCTGAACAAGACAGTACTTGCTGAACCAGAACGGCAAAACACCGTTATACTGAGCTTCCCTTCTACTGAAGTGTAGCATTGCAGAGGATATTTAATTGAAGTCTGTTTTTTCAGACTCCCAGGGCCTATTTTGGATCTTAATTTGGGCCAGATTCTCTAAGGACATAAGCAGAGGACTTGTTTTGTTCCTGTGAGTAGTGATTGCCTCTTGAATTTTTGCATTATAGACCTGTCTGTAGTGAAAATTATGAATAATTTAGTTGATCTCAGTGGAAGTGAGTTTCAGCATCTTGGATTCTTGGTGAAATTTCTGCTTTTAGACCTGTGTGAGATGAAGACATTACAAGATGCTACTTGAGTGATGTCTTGTAAAACATGCTAAAACAATAATACAGGCACAACACACAGAAATAGAGTGGTTGCCATAGGACATGTTTTACTAAGACTTAATCTGAACTTAAACTCACCTCTAAACAATATCCCACTTTTTTTTATGTTTGCCTTTTAAAAATAGGTGTAAGTGCAACCTTCACGCTACAGGCTGTAAAGAAGAAAACAAAAGACTGCTTTGTGAATGTGAGCATAACACAACTGGCCCAGACTGTGGAAAATGCAAGAAGAATTACCAGGGCCGACCGTGGAGCCCTGGTTCTTATCTGCCAATACCTAAGGGCACTGCTAATATCTGTAAGTAGTTCTGTATGATAAGAATAATTCATTATTAGAATTCTGCCCCATATCGTGACTATGAAGGAAGATTAATGCAGGCAAAAGTTTGCCATATCTTTATGACCAGTGCATATAATTTGACAAGGTGTCAACCTGTTAAGTGTTAATTCTAAGTCTACATCATCTGTGCTCTTACATGGTTGTAAATAACTTGCATGTAAACTGGGTGTTTGTATCCATAGACAAATTGCTGGACAATGCACAGAAAGGGCTAAGGAATGGAGAAATTTGGACCCTTCACATAAAAAGCACACACAGAGGAGAGAAACCAGTGGCAATATCTGAAGTACTGCAGCCGTGGCACCCTCAGCTCTCTATTCATACGTCCTTATTGTCTCTGGATTCAAACCAACCTCAGCTCAATGTGTGAGATGAGGTCCTTGCTCATTTTTTGTTAATTTCAGAGAGTTTAAAAATCTCAGATCAAATTTTTGCAATTAATAGCTAAAGATCTAAAGGTTGGTAAAGGAAGTTTGTACCTCATGTTGACCTGCAGTCCAGATTCACTTGCACTGTTTTAGATCGCTGTAAGGGTTGAAGCGGAAAAGCGAGGGCAAAACCCGAGTTTTTGTTTCTGCTTGTTTCCAGCTAATTAATAGCCATTCCACAAAACACATACTCACTATTCCGGCACACCTTCTTATTAGCCAAAGGAAGTTATTGACAGCTGCATCTCCAGGTCCTAGACACAGTGCTGAAAGAGAGGGCATGAAGACAAGTATGAGCATCAGTTCTTCCTTTCGTAATTGTACAAAATACACAATGACTGAGAGTTTTCCTGAACTGAATAACAGACTTAAATCCTTTGAAGAAAAGATTGAAGAAGATGAGGATAAATCACCAAACCTTTTGAAAGAAGTTACTAGCTTCTTTTAAGAAGAGTCCACAGTTTTGCGCTGATTGAAAGCAAAACATTCATTTTAGAATATTAGAATATAACAATTTACTGACAAGTTATTTGGCAGAAACAGAGCTCTGTACTGCAGTTGAATGAAAAGTTTAAAACCAGGAGCAATGTGCAGTGCTCAGAATGTTATCTAAGACTTCAAAGCAGCAGCTGTGAAAAATCAAAACTCAAAAATGAATATCACAGGAAGCAGGACCTTATCAAGTTAAATGTGAGAGTAATAGACCAAGTAACAAACCGTGAAGTGTGGGGACATGAAATTATTATAAAATTCTTACTGAGCAGAAAAAAATGAACTTCCAAAAAGCGGGGGTAAAACACTTTGTAAGAGTGTTCACTTTTTCTGCATGTTATAAAGAATGAGTCTAGCTCACAGAATTAATACTTTAAAGCTGTGTTCGGAAAAAAATAGTGAGACTTACCAGGTTGAGTTTATTTACATATTTATATATATACATACATATATATGCACATATGTACAATTTTATATATAAATAATGCAGTTGCTACCCCAACAATCATCTAAACTATTGACAAGATAGATCAGAACATGAAAACAGGCATCTTTCTAACTGCAGCTTGCTGTGTCAATTACCTCATTTCCGATCAGATGAGCACACACCAGACACACACCAGTGGAATTAGCGCCCACCAAAAAAGATGTCTGGAGCTTGTTGAAACAACTTTCAACATTACTGAATTCCATCAGATATACAGTTCCATCAAAAATCAAAATGTTTTGCAAATAGCAGGCAGTCTTTTCTGGTTTTTATTATTATTACTATTACTATGATAGCATCATGAAAATGTAACCTTGTTTGAGCTGACAAATGCTCCACTTACCCTCAAATCCTGACTTCAGCAGTGTCAGGAATTTATGGCAAGCAGGAAGAAGCATGAAGGATTTCTTCTTTGCCTTCCCAGTTGCCAGCGATAAACTGGCTTCCTGAGCTGGACCCTCCATCATACCTGCAGTGGTTGCTAGCTGCTGAGTAGAGAGAGAGACCCAGCTGTCATTAACTTAATCTCAGTGACATCTTATGGCAATACATTTCACATTTTAATGACACAACGAGTGAAAGGTATTTCCTTTATTTACTTTAAGTGTTTTAATATGGTTAAGCCTGTACCTCCTTAGATAGGAAGAAACAGAGAATAGTGCATCCCTACTTACATCTGTTATACCATTTATGATTATGCAGAATTGGCATGTCCACTCCTCCAACCTATTTTTCTAAATGACAAATTGTAATCTATTTGATCTCATCATATATAAAACCATGCCACATCTCTGGTCATCTGTGCTTTCTTGCTCTCTTCTGGTTCTATGATGTTATGGTGGGTTGACACTGACTAGACACCAGGTGCCCATCAAAGCCACTCTATCTCTCCCCTTCCTCAGCTGAGCAGGGGAGAGAAAATATCATGAAAGGCTTATGGGTCAAGATAAGGACAGGGAAAGATCATTCATCATTACCATAATGGGCAAAACAGACTCAGCTTGGGGAAATTACTTTAATTTATTACCAATCAAATCAGAATAGGATAATGAGAAATAAAACCAAATCTTGAAAACACCTTCCCCCCACCCCTCCCTTCTTCCTTAGCTCAACTTTACTCCTGAATTCTCTGCCTCCACCCCTGAGCAGTGCAGGGGGATGGGGAATGGGGGCTGCGGTCAGTTCAACACATTGTCTCTGCTTCCTCCTCATGGGAGGACTCCTCACACTCTTCCCCTTCTCCTTCTCCAATGTGGGGTCCCTCCTACAGGACACAGTCCCCCATGAACTTCTCCCATGTGAGTCCTTCCCATGGACTGCAGTTCTTCACTAACTGCTCCAGCGTGGGTCCATTCCACAGGATGGACTCCTTCAGGAACAGACTGCTCCAGCGTGGGTCCCCTGTGGGGACACAGCCTCCTTTGAGCATCCACCTGCTCCACTGTGAGGTCGTCTGGGCTGCAGGTGGATCTGCTCCACCGTTACCTCTGTGGCTGCAGGGGCACAGCTGCTTCACCATGGGTTGCACCACAGGCTGCAGGGGAATCTCTGCTACAGTGCCTGGAGCACCTCCTGCCCCTCCTTCTTCACTGACATTGGTGTCTGTAGAGTTGTTTTTCTCACATCTCACTCTGCTCTGCACTGCTGTTTTCACAACAGTTTTTTTTCCCCCCGTTTAAATGTTATCCCAGAGGCACTACCACCGTCACCAATGGGCTCGGCCTTGGCCAGCGGTGGGTCCATCTTGGAGCTGCCTTGTGTTTGTTCTATCGGACATAGGGGAAGCTTCTAGCAGCTTCTCAGGAGCCACTTCTGTAGCCCCCCCACTATCAAAACCTTGCCACACAAACCCAATAAATAAGCCATTTTGTGCACACGATCTTCTGGGCATGAGAACAACACGGATCTTTTACAGTGGCATAAAAATGTGTTTGCTTTATATTTTGTTATTACAGGGATCAGCCCTTGAGTCCTCTTTAAAGACATTTCTTCTGGCGTCAAGGCTGACATAAGTGACAGGTTATATGTTGCAGTGGTTACTTCAGAAATGTCATGTTTGAGTTCCTTTAAAACACTTCTTAGGTGAACATCACTTTATGGCAATTCTTATTGTTTGATATTATTTACGTCTTCTAAAACACCTTCAGATGATGATAGACATTGAAAAACTTCCTCAGATTGTGACTCTGTCTCTAACCTTCTTTGTTGTGAACATCAGTGAAAACAATTCATTTAGTATTCAGTACTTTTATACTTTGATTGCCTATATACTCAATCATCTCTCTGGGAGGCCTCCTGCTTCTAGCATGGTTATTTTAACAAGAAAGAATTATTAACTTTTATATCTGTAGTTTATATTTAACTTGACAGATTTTATGCTTTTTTTTTTCCTATCTTTCTCCACTGAGATGACTTACAGTTTTGAAGGGTGTCTTTCCAAAATGAACATTCTACTGTTTTGGGTTGGATGCTGGTTTTGGGTTTTTTTTTTCAAGATAGTTGATTTCTATAACTAAAAAAAAAATTAAAAAATAAAGGTTTCCTGTGATTATTCTGAGTCTCTCATACACTTTATCTCTAGCCTGCCTCCATGCTGTTTGCATTAAATCTTTTTAGCTGTTCTTTTGACTTTTCTCTTAACTAACTTCCTCTTTTTTGTCTGCTCACTCTCTGAAATTTAAATATTACTGCAGCAGATTTTTTTTCCAACTTTTTCCTTCTCAACAAGAATGTTGACTTTCAGTCCAGAAGTGGTTCTCTGATAACTACTTCTTGAATTGGGCCCTATGTACCTCTCAGAACTAAATCAGCTTTTCTTTTTGTGGGTTGTCTGATGACTTCCTACAAGCAGCAATCATTCATGGTATGCAAAAGCTTCATTTCTTTTGTCACTTTCTGATTTAATGCCGCACCCATTGGAGCATATTAAGTTTTGTGTTATTGTGTAAACTCTCTGCACAACATAATTTCATTTACCCTGTTGTGTTTATGTCACCAGCTTCATCGCGTGGTCAGTAATGCAGCTGTAGCACTATACTCTCCCTAGTCAGGCGTGAATTCTGTAAATCCTTGCTGGACCATGGTGATAGAATTAACTTATCTGGTTTGACCCTAAACTTCCTTGATATATTGCTTTAATTCCCTGGGTATACTTTGTATAATCCAGTAATACAGTATCCCTTTGATACTCTTCCTTCCTCCAATTTTCAGAGCCTCTCTTTTCTATCTAAGGCCAAAATATTTAAGATTTCACATGGATTTGAAGATTTTTTTTATAAGAATGTACATAAATAACATACAGATAAAAATAATTGTATAAATGAAACACTCGTGAATTTTTTTCATAAAATAGAAAGATCCTTTTTCTTGAGATTCTCTGAATTTGGGAAATTTGCTCAGATTCAACAAAAAGCCTGATGTCCATTTCCAAGTCTTTCCCAACTGGAACCTCTGTTGTTTCCACTGTTCCGCCATTTTTTTGTGGACAGTAGGACTTTACTATACCTTTTCAAGCTACAGCTCATGAAATACAAGACCATTCTAGATTAATC